CTCAGAAGTTTTTAATTTTGATTTTAATTGATCTATTTTTCCTTTGGTTGCCTGTGCTTGTGGTATCACATCTGAGGAATCGTTGCCAAATCCAATATTATAAAGATTTCCCCCTATATTTTCTTCTAGTGGTTTTAGTATTTTTAGTTCTTATATTTTGGTATGTAACCCATTTTGATTCAATTTTTGTGTATGGTGTAAGGTAAGGATCCAAATTCGTTGTTTTTGCATATGAATATCCATTTCCCCCCATACCAGTTATTGAAAGGACAGCCCTTTCCCCACTGAATTTTCTTGTAATACTTGGCAAAAATCATTTGACCATATATGCAGAAGTTAATTTCTGGGCTCTCCTATTCCCTTGGTCTATATGTCTGTCTATCACCAGTACCACACTGTTTTGTTTTCATTTTAATTATATTATTTTTCAGTACATTTTAAAGTTCACAGTAAAAGTTTGCAGGGAGTGCAAAGATTTCCCATATGCCCCTTTCCCTGCTCTGCACAACCTCCTTCAACATCAAAGTCCTGCATCAGAGCAGTGCATTTGTCACAATGTGAACCCACATTGACATGTCATGATCACCCAAAGTCCGTACTTTACATTAGGGTTCACTCTTTATTGTCTGTGTGTTTTGAAAAATGTATAATGACATGTGTCCATCATTTCAGTACCTCACAGATTCATTTCACCTCTCTGAATATCCTCTGTACTCTGCCTGTTCATCCCTCTTTCCTCCAGTCTCTGGCATCCATTGATCTGTTTACTGTCTCCATAGTGACATTTTCCAGAATGGCCTATGTTGGAACCATGCAGTATGATGGAGTCTTTTCAGATTGACTTCTTTAGCTTAGTAATGCATTTATGACTCCTCCATGTCTTTTTGTGACTTGACAACTTATTTCTCTTTGGCATTGAGCAATATTTCATTGTCTGTATGCGACAGTATTTTATCCATTAACAGGACAGCTCCACTGCTTCTCAGTTTTGGCAATTATGAATACAGCTGCTACAAATATTCATGTGCAGTTTTTTGTATACACATGTTTTCAACTCACTCAAATAAATACCAAGGAGTACAACTGCTGATCATGGTAAAAGTGTTCGGTTTGGTTTGTAAGAAAGTGCCAAACTGTCTTTCAAAAGGTGACAGTTTGCATTCCCACCAGGCAATGAATGAGAGTTCCTGTTGTTCCACATCCTTACCAGCATTTGGTGGTATTAGTGTTTTGGATTTTAGCCAGTCTAATAGGTGTGTAGGTGGTATCTCATTATTTTACAACAATATAGCTTTTTTCTAAAGTTTGGATGTCAGGAAATATTAGACTTCCAACTTGGTTCTTTCTCAATTGTTTTTGACAGTTTGTGATTGGATCTCATCCCCTCATAATTTGGGATTGGCTCTCATCCCCTCATACAATTTCATATGAATTTTAAGTTTTTTTCTATTTCTGAAAAAAAAGAAGTAGTCATGGGGATTTGGGTAGAGATTATATTGAATTTGTAGATCCCTTTGCAAAGTATTGGCATCTTAACAATATTAAGTCCTCCAGTCTATGAATACAGAAAGTCTTCCCATTTATTTGGGTCTTCTTCAATTTATTTCAGGAAGATTTTTTAGTTTTCAGTATATAAGTCTTTAACTTCCTTGAATAATTCCTAAGTATTTTATTCTTTTTGATGTTATTGTAGATAGAATGTTTTTTAAAATTTACTTTTGTATTGTTCATTGTCAGTATATAGTAACACAACTGATTTTTACATGTTGATTTTTGTATCCTGTAACTTTGCTGAATTCATTTATTATTTTAATAGTCTTTTTGTGGAATCCTTAGAGTTTCCCTCATATAAAATCAGAGGATGTTGGGAAAAAGGCACACTCATACATTGCTTGTGAGACTGCAAATTGGTGCAGCCAATATGGAAAGCGGTATGGAGATTCCTTGGAAAACTGGGAATGGAACCACCATTTGACCCAGCTGTCCCTCTCCTAGGTCTATACCCAAAGGACTTAAAAACAGCACACTACAGGGACACAGCCACATCAATGTTTATAGCAGCACAATTCACAATAGCTAAACTGTGGAACCAACCTAAATGGCTTTCAGTAGATGAATGGATAAAAAAAATGTGGCATATGTACACAATGGAATATTACTCAGCAATAAAAGAGAATAAAATCATGGCATTTGCAGGTAAATGGTTGGTGTTGGAGAAGATAATGCTAAGTGAAGTTAGCCAATCCCCCAAAAACCACATGCCAAATGTTTTCTCTGATATAAGGTGACTGACCCATAATGGGGTAGGGAGGGGGAGCATGGGAGGAATAGAGGAACTCTAGATGGGACAGAAGGGTGGGAGGGGAAGGGAGGGGACAGGGGGTTAGCAATGATGGTGGAATGTGATAGACATTATCTGAAGTACATGTATGAAGTCATGAATTGGTGTGAACATACTTTATATACAAACAGATGAAAAGTTGTGCTCTATATGTGTAATAAGAATTGTAATGCATTGCACTGTCATGTATTTAAAAAATAAAATCAATAAAAATATGTATTAATAAAATAAAATCAGGCCATCTACAGAGGACTTTACTTCTTCCTTTCCAACAGATATCTTTTATTTCTTCCTCTTTCCTATTGCTCTGGCTAGAACTTGTACTATGTCGAATAGAAGTGAGGGGAGCAGGCATCCTGATCTTGTTCCTGATCCTAGAGGATAAACTTTTAGTCTTTTACCATCGAGTATGACATTAGCCACGCAAGCAAAGTTTTAAACAGAGCTGACAGAGAGGCAGGATGATGAATACCCGGCACCTACTTAAAATTGTGGTCCTCTTTATTCCCAGGGCCTAGAACAGTGTCTGGCACATAATAATTATGGAAAGAATGGGTAAATTTAAAAAATTGGTAGTTTCTCAAGTGGAATGAGCCAAAGGGTGCTTCCAAATGGAGAGCTGTATTCAGGAAGGTGGTAAGGATGAGGGGGATGATAAGGTGATAAAGTCTCATCAGGTCGTCCACTGGCAAGGAGCAGGTGTTGGTCCCACATTGGAGGGTGGAAAAGCCACTTAAATCTTGGTACACTTTTCCTGGATAACCTGCATTTTAGAGACATTTCTCTGGTAAAGTTATGCTCCCTTCTCTATATTAGCACAATAACATACGTTGTATCTCTTTGTATTTATGATTACTGAATAAATAACTTATAGCCCAATGGATGCAAAGAACATGAGTGAAATGCTATAATTTACAGGTGGCAGTTGTTAAAATGCTAATTGAGTGTGTAACATATGCCTCATTTTGGCACAGCTTTGAAATAATGTAACTGTTTTCCTGTTTTAATTTGGGATGATTGGAAAGCACCAAGTCCCCCCATTTCTTTTTTTTTATATTTATTTTTTAGGTGCAGATGGACACAACACAATGCCTTTATTTTTATGTGGTGCTGAGAATTGAACCCCGGTCCTGCCCATGCTAGGGGAGCGCTCTACCGCTGAGCCACAATCCTGGCCCCCTGCCATTTCTTAGTCATGCCACACGTTTGCATTGGATCTCATCCCCTCAGTAAGATTAAAAATCCTCCTCAGCTAGTCTGAGAATGGGGAAATTCTCATTTAACGTGTTGGCATTTCTCTTCATTTGGACTTTCAACAAGTGAGTCCTAAATATGAACTAGCATGTCCTCACTTTTCCCCTCTAACAAGTCATCTGAGTTACGTGTTTAAAGAACACATTCTGTAAATATAAAACTTGTTCATAACTTTAAGAAGCAACAGAACATAGTGGAAAGAACAAGCCCTTTTGTGTCGGTGAGGGATTTTCTAGCCACAAATAATTGAAATCCTATAGCTTATGCCAAAGAGGAATTTAGAACACCAAAAGATGTTCCAGGGTGCAGGCGATCTTACAGGACCCAAGGGCGGAGGGCAGCCAGGCTCCTGAGAGTCTGGGCTTAGGACCTGGAAGCCAAGGAACTTAGGTCACCCCTATGTTTCAGGAAACATGCTCTCATCTCTCCCTCTCTCTCTTGGAAACTGGCCCTTTCTTCTCTTCTCTGGGTGCACAGCCACACACAGCTGTCCGGCTCTGGCTCTTTATCGCTCCCATTTTAAGGACTAGCAGAGGCTGCCTGGAATCTCTGATTTCCAAATTCCTGGAAGACAGAATCTGATTATCTCATCTTGAGTCAGATGTCCACTCTTGGCTTGTTCATTTATTAGTTCCAAAAGTCTTTATTGAGTGCCAGGAACTGTTTTAGGCACCAAGGATATATCCTGCTTGTAGAGTTTGTGTGTGTGTGTGTGTGTGTGTTAAGAGAGAGAGAGAGAGAGATAGACAGACTTTGATTTTGTGTGTGTGTGTGTGTGTGTGGTTGAACCTGGAGGTGCTCTCTTTTTATTTATTTATTTTCGAGATAGGGTCTCACTAAATTTCCCAGGCTGGCCTTGAACTTGGGATCCTTCTGCCTTGACCTCCAGAATAGCTGGCATTACAGGCATGTGCCACTACGCCCAGCTTTACTGCTTAATACTTAGGGACAGGGTTGAGGGTTGCAAATTTCAGAGAAAGGGAAGGACGTCTGGGCCTGTAACTTGCACAGACCTGGACTCAAATCCTGATTTCTCCCCTTGCTCTGTGACCCAGGGCATGTGAAATGGTTAAACTACCTCTCTTAGCCCCAAGTTTTACTCAGTTCAAAAGGAATAATCCTTTATAAGATAATTGTGAGGATTCCAGTGAAGGGTGCTGGGAAGGCTGGTAGTTTATATAGCATCTGCCACCTGTAGGCAGAACCTGGCTGCTCTGCTACCTGTCGAAATCTGTTTCTCCATCATAAAACAGGAAAACATATTGCCTCCCTGCCATCCTTAGAAGAATTTAGTCATGTGATGCGTGCCCTGCTGTCTGGAATTTGTACATGACAGACACTCCAGTGTGGTCACCGCTCCTCTTATTCTTACTATTAATCACATATAATTTTTTCTGTCTTCTAGTTCCCATTTGGCCGACGCTTGCCTTGTGACATCTACTGGCATGGAGTTTCATTTCATGACAATGACATATTATCCGGTCAAGTGAACAAGTTTCCAGGTATCTGCTGTTATTGTGTTTCTCGAGCCGAGTCCCAGAGTATGTTCTTCTACAAAAACATGACAGTGTTTTGAGATCAAACTTGAGGACTCTTAATTGGGACTCGCTGCCTGTGCTCTGCTGTATTGCTGTCACCTTGGGAGGGAAGTCAGCGCAGAGGTAATCAGGACTTAAGCCACTAGGGGTTTAAAGATTGCAGACAGGCTTGTGCAGGTTTAAAGCCAGGCTTTCTTGGTCTAATCCTACTGGTGGAAGAACATGATTTTCATTTGTTGGGTTATAGATATAATATGGAGGTCAAATGAGGGGACTATATTCTCAAAATAAAGGAACAGAACATTTCTCTTGCAGGAAACTGAAATGCTACACTTCTAAGAATGTATCACAGAAATGGTATATCACCCCCCACCCCTTTTTTTCTTTGTACCAGTGATTGAACCCAGGGGCACATAACTACTGAACCACATCCCCAGCCCTTTTTGTTTCATTTTGGGACAGGATCTTGCCAAGTTGCTTAGGGCTCCCTAACTTGCTGAGGCTGTCTTTGAACTCGTAATCCTCCTGCCTTGGTCTCCCAAATCACTAGGATTACAGGCGTGCACCACCATGTTTGGCAACTTCCTCTTTTTTTAAGAATTGTATTTGGAGGTTCCATTTAAAAAAAAAAAACCTGAATACGCTAGTCCCCATGCTAAGTATTACAAGGCTAATGACATTGTCTCCATGGGACTTACCCTACAAGGAGGGTGGCCAGAAAATTGTCATAACGATCATATTAAAAGCCTCCTCCACTCTATACCCAGATACCACTTACGCTTTTTATTTTGTTTTTAAATCTCTACCACCTTCTTCTGTGATTACTGCTGTTCATTATTTTTGATGGCTACATGAAGAGGGAGGCTAAGGGGAGTGTGACTGGTTAGGGAGAAGGGAACATTTAGTTAAGTTTCCAGCCATGGGGTCTTATAGTTGTTTTGATAATGTATTGAACAAACCGTATTCTAGTACAATAATAAATAATTTAAAAAAAGAAAATATCACCCTGAATCCTATCCCTCATTTAACAAAATAACAATGTGAATGTTTCTGTATTTTCACCCAAAGCTTAACCATGTTTATCATTTTTATATCCCTCATTTAACAAAATAACAATGTGAATGTTTCTGTATTTTCACCCAAAGCTTAACCATGTTTATCGTTTTTATATGGCGGCAGTTATACTTGCCTAACTACAAGGTGTTTTTTCTTAATATCATATTATTTGTACTTATATTAGAAGGAAATTAAATCCACTTTTTCTTTGGCACTCCACCCTCTGCCTTGAAGAAAACACCTCTCAGGAAACAATTTTCTTACACTGACTACTTTTGCCCCATTCGCGAGGGGATTTTCAAGTTCAGCATGCAGACTGACAAGGTCACTACCACAGGCCACACTTGGCTCTTAGAAGGACGCAGGGCAGGAAGCACAGCTTATCAGCCAGTCTATGCCCAGCATTTCTCTTCAATGAAGTATTTTCTACAGTACTGGGAGCCGGCCTCTGGCTGAGTGAGTGAGAGGAGATGTAAGGAGACCAGATCCACATCTGTCTTGGCTCAGATGCCCCAAGGAGTCAGTGTCTCTCCTAACTGCTCCATAGCATAGCTTCCAAGGTCCCTGTAAGAGTCATGTTAAGTTATTAAAATCACCACTAAGACAGCCTAGAGCTATGGCTTCCTACAGGTATTAAACAATTCAACAATCAGGGAACATCTTAACTGTGCACTTTGTTGTCTACCAACACAGATAGCAATCTGCCTTTTTTTTGGTTTCCAGGGATACTGAGACAGAAGGTTAACCCAAGGTCTGTTTGTCCTTAGAGAAGGAGAGAGAATTCTGTTAGGGAACAAGATTGATTTGCGAACAGGGTTCCTGTACCCCCGTTTAATGGGATAGCTACTGTATTCTCCTGTTGGGCTGCTCAGAAAAAAAATACTTTTCCATGTCAGTAAAAGGACTTTTTAAGGTTTGGGGAGAACCCAATCTGGAAGTGAAGGAGTCTTTAGAATGAATTACTAAGAAATGAAACATCAAATGAGGCTTCATCTACATTTTCTCCATTTGCTCATGCCTCAGCGAATGGCTGAGTGGGAGAGCTGTAGCTATGTTTGGGTCTATATTTGGAAAACAAATTAGAAATATAGAGGGGGAAAAAGTACTCCTGAAGAACTAGTTTTATTAAAGGTGATGAAAGTACATTCATTCCAAGAGGCAAGTTTGCCCATCCCGTACTCCACATACCAGTGACTGGAACTTGTAATTTTCCACTTTACTAACAACAATTAATTAGCTGTAATGACAAAGCAGGCTCTGGAACCTCTGGGCGGAGCAGCAGCACTGCCCTGTGGAAGACAGAAATCCTTAGCCGTAGGCAATTCCAGAACATCCTGTCCTGTGGCTCCAGTTGGGTCCACTTTTATCTTGTCTCCCATACACCCATTATTCTAAAATCGTACTTCCTACGCCTGGTATGCTACTTAAGTTCTAGGCAGTGCACCAGAGAAGTGTAGCTATTTCACATGCTGCGAAAACGGAAAACTTTGGGATATGCATATGGAAGTAATTTATTTTGTTTGTATCAGCATTTTGGATTTCATTCGCTTTTCTCTGGGCAATTTCTTTATTCAAAATACACTATTATATCTTAACCGGTGAATTATGATTTTCTATAAAAAGTAATCTGAGTTAGATATGTCTTTGCTTCAACCCAAATTGTCAGTTCCCAGCTTACAAACAACAGGTTATTTATTTATTTATTTTTTTTTCCTGAGTTTCAAGGTCTGAGATGTGCGGCAGTGCAGGGTGGGCAGTGCTTGAGAGATGACCACAAGGAGGGGGCTGCAGGGGGGAATCTGCAGGGTGGCCCAGCACTGTTCTGGGCTCCGAGGACACTAAGATAATGAGAAAGACAGGCAGGAGAGAGCAAAACACAACCCAAGTGCTGCGCCTGGGGAAGCCTGGAGCGCGTGGGAGTCAGGAGCCACCTAATCCAGATTTGCTTGAGGGGGTGAGAGATCCAGGAGAAGAGGATCGGCCTTCGCACTGAGCCTCCAGAGATGGACGGGCCTGGCCTGATACCAAACAGGAGGCAGAGGACAGGTGGCCCCTGAGGATGGAAGCGGATCAAATGAGAGTGGGTGGAGAAGTTAGGGGCAGGGACTCCCGGGGAGTAGGGGGCTCCAAGACATTTCTAAACCAGAGAATGATGTGGGTCATCCTGTGTTTTAGAAAGACCAGCCAGAGGGTCACATGGGAGGTGGGTGGAAAGGCTGAGAGAGGGAACGGAGATACGGGGAGAGGTTACTGCAGCACCCGGGCAGGAGATCAGCTAATCAGTGGCAATGGGAATGCAGAAAGTATTTCTTTTTGGTGGCTATAATGACAAGAATTTTTGGTTTCAATGCTACTTGCATTGAATAGTGCTCCAAATACAGCTCCGTTTGTTCGGTTTTTGTTGGGTTCGGTAGGGCTGCACGGGCAGGTCTGAGGATCCAACTGTTACACTCTTGGTTAACTCCAAAGGGATGAGACCCCCAGGCCCTGAGGCTGCAGCGCAGCAGACAGAAGAACCCACACCTCAGAAAGAGTGGCAGGAGGCCAGCCCTTGTGTCAAAGCTGTAATCCAAGGTTAGGGAGTTTTCCCAATTGATGGGAGAACTGCCACCATAGGGACATCTAGGGTAGACCTCATTGAGAGACTCTGGTGGTCAGCACAGGATCCCAGACGCTGGGCTAAGTCCAGCCTTTGCAGGCACGTATGGGGGCTGGGGAGGCATTGGAGAGAACAAGGCGGAGGCCTGAGCTTTGTGCATAGTGATGGCAGCCACTCAGCCACAGGAAGCAAAAGATAAGGCTACGAAAATTTGGGAACAGGGCTGGGGATGTGGCTCAAGCGGTAGCGCACTCGCCTGGCATGCGTGCAGCCCGGGTTCGATCCTCAGCACCACATACAAAACAAAAAAGATGTTGTGTCCGCCGAAAACTAAAAAATAAATATTAAAATATTCTCTCTCTCTCTCTCTCTCTCTCTCTCTCTCTCTCCCTTTAAAAAAAAAAGAAAAATTGGGAACAAGCAATGGAGCCTCAGAAAAACACATAAAAGCCTCCTTATCTAATTGGGACAGAAAGTGGGGATCAAACTTGTAGCAGGGGGCAGCTTAAGGTTAGACCTGGACTTTCCACCACATGTCTTGATGAGTCTGGAGCCCAGGGAAGGGTCCCGGATGAGAAGTGGGGAAGGACTGTGGCTGCTTAGGGAAGGAAGGCAGGGTCTGGAGCCAGCAGGGCGGCAGCCACCTCCCTGTCACTCAGTTACTTGGGGAGCATGAGTCCACTCTTGTCAGGGTTGTAGTGTGAGAAGGCGCCACTTCCACACCTGTCTCTGGGCTACCTGCAGAGGCCGGATGTCAGCAACTTCTGTGAGGGGTTTGTGAGGGCCTGAGACTCTTTCCCAGGCAGCACTGGATGGGACCATGGCTTAGATATGGAGAGGAACAAAGTCTTAGGTAGTAGATGGGTGAGGGAGGGCTCATCTGGTGCCTCCTGGAGACAGGCATTCAGGCAGAGTTAGGGGTGAGCAGCTGCCCTCTGCAGGCAGGAGTACCAGGGCAAGTAGCCATTGGCCATAGAGGTGCTTCCTAAGTTGGTTGCCTGGAAGTACAAACCTGGAAACATCTGTCAGCTGGTGGGACTGAGGGTGCACATTACAGAAGGAGCCGAGCAGACTGAGAATGAGCGGTTCCTCCACTGGCTGGACACTGACATTCATGAGACTTTTCTGAGCTTTCCACTGCCCCCCTGTATTCACAGCACTTCTGTCTGAATTGTTCATTTCCTTCTGACCTGCTGAGGGGTTTCAGAAAGAGAACCTGTCACACTGCCAGGAAAATGCAGAAATACCACAACACTGTTTGGTTAGGAGCCACCATTTCTACTGGGTGTGAGGACTTGTTACATTACAGTTAGCTTGGAAGATTTTTGATTTAATACTGTAACTAAAATGGAAGTCGAATATAAGCAGAAAGGTTCAATCAAACCTGTTGAAATTTTGTTTTGTTTACCTGGCCTTTAGCTGTGGTGTTTATAACTCAAAAATTCCACTGGGGATGGGGATAAAAGGAAATAGCTATGATTTTCCATGCTCGTTTCTTGGAATCCTCAGGACAGCATTCTCGGTGAGTTTTCTTTAACATCGAAGAGTCCACATCAGAGCACAGTTAATTGGTACTTCCTAAGCTCTTTTATTCCTACCTTAATCCTGCCCTATATCCTTCCAAACAGGAGCTAAGAACTTGGGCATTGACACCTTGAAGCTGCAATCTTTAGATTTATTGCTCTCTTTAATATGCAGAGGGAAGCAAGAAGTAGGTTATTAAGACCTGCCTTCTTAGAAGTTCATTTGCTTCCTGAATGTGGGTGTTGGGAGAAACCTCATTCATCCTGACGGAGCCCATTTGGAATGTGCGGTAACTTGGGCATGCCAAGCGGACATGGAATTCTGGACTCTCTATTAAAAATAATTGTGCTAAGCAAATTTCTAGTTTCCGTCATGGGACTGTTTAGTCTTTTTCAGGGTGAAGGTTATTTTTAGCCTCCATTTTTAGTAGTGACATTTGCCTTAAGAAATAAGGAGGCTAAAATTGATAATAATTTTTTACCTATTTGCTTAAACTTTGCTAAGATTTATGCTCAGTTTCTTGTCAGAGTTACTAATGATGTTACAAGGGGGAAAAAAATCCACCATTCTTTTAAAGTGTTTTTCAAGTGAGACATTTCAGTCCCCTCTGGGTAAATTAATGAGAGCTGATCAATGTCAATGTCAGTGCTTATAACTGAAGAACTCCTATGAATTCATTTTCCCTGTTAAACTATAAATTATGCTATGGTTTCCTTTCCACTTCCTGTCCTTGGTTCAAGGAGACAGATTTTATGCCGAAAGGTGTGTATTTTCCATTTTATGCTTTTAATACCCGTGAAAGATTAAAACAAAGCAACTTAATTAAACTTCTCACAATGTCACCAGAGTGCACTAGATAATATTCTCTAGGGTACAAGATAGAAGGAATCCCAGAATTATGTGTTCTGGCCCCAAATTAAAGAGGGTATTAAGTTTTAAGTGCAAGATAGAAATGCTTCTCTATTCATTACCCCCGGGGAGGACAAATAATAGAATAATAAACTAGGTGAAAATTCATCCTTTCAAACTGATGCTTCGTTTTTATAGGGAGAAAAAAAATCCATCCATTTTCATGAATTTGGTAGAGCTTTCCAAATCATGAATCAGTGCTATGGGGAACAGTTCAGACCTGTTTTTAAATGCTGCTTGAAAAAAGTGATTATGGGGCGGGGGGCGAGTGGTTTTAAAATCCCGGATAATGGCTGCTTTATAACTGATGCCTCCCCGTTGCTCCAACCTCACAGCTTCTCTTCTCCCCAGGCATGACGGAGATGGTGCGCAAAGTGACCCTGAGCAGAGCGGTCAGAATGATGCAGAATCTCTTTCCTGAGGAGTACAACTTCTATCCTCGCTCATGGATTCTGCCAGAGGAGTTCCAGCTCTTTGTCACTCAGGTAGATGGCACTCCATCCCCGTGACCCTTGAATTAGATCATGCTTGTGACTGTGCCCTGGCTCCTGTGTGTTGGGAGCTGGGCCTCGGGCATTCCAGGAAGCTGATCCTGACAAGGTGTTGGTGACCATCATGGCAACTTGCAGAGTTGAATGGGTGGGGCGACAGGTCCTGACCTCAGGAGACCGGCCCAAGGCAGGTATTGGAGCTGGATCAGAGTCAGGGCACCGGCCAGCCAGTGGGATGGAGCAGGTGGTCGAGCCCACAGCAGGGCCATTTGAGGGGATCCTGGAGGCCGAGCATCTCTGGCTCCCAGCGGTATGAAGTGAGGGGGGTCAGGCTCCACTTAAAGCCCAGGCAGCAGGTCTGACGACCTGAGGGCGAAACCTTTTAAAAGTCCTGTTTTAAATGTGTTCCAGAATTGATTCTCAAATGGCCTGTTCTGTCTCGAAGCAAAATGTTTAAGCGTGAAATGCTTTGGCTCTGTCACCACTGAATGTGAAGTAGAAACAGCAGGGGAGCGGAACTCAGAACTGCCATTTGGATTAGTCTTTCAACAGATTCATTTAGGACCATCTCAAAGCCTTTGGCAGGTTCCGTAGTTAATACCATAACTAGGGACTACGGGATAACCATGCAACATGTGCCTATGTGGTCACGAAAAGGCCAATACCATTTAGTGGTCCTACTATGTTCCAGGCATATTGCTAGAAGTTTAACATTATTTCTTTTAATCTGCACAACAATCTTGTGTCATTGGTTTTAGTAATATTACCATTCTATAAATGAGGAAACTGAGACTTTTGAGAAATTAAGTGACCTGCTCTAGAAGTAGGATTTAAATCTAGAGCTGATTCCAGGCCTATGTTTCATTGTCTAGTGCCTCAAAACTGTTTTGTTTTAATAAAATATGATTACTAAACATGTAAACAGCTTGAAGTAATTTTTAAAAGGAAGCTTTCTATGAGAGGGTGGTCATATGGGTCCTTGCACATTTCTAAAAATCCATCAACTTTAACTTAAACTGGGTGCATCTTGCTGGATGCTAATTATGCCTCAATAAAGTTTATTAAAAACACCCACTAGCTGTTCCCCACTTTCACTCTAATTCCTCAGTTTGGGTGGCTCTGCTCACCCTTTTGGCACTAGGTAGAATACCATACTGTTCCTTCCCATCTCTACCACTGTCTCTATATCTAACTGTTCTGCAAGGCCAAATTAAGACAAGATCAACTGTTTTCAAAATCTAAAAGTGAGAGGAGTATGTTCATCATTTCCAAAGTCCCTTTGTACCTCTGCAGTGTACTCCATCAATCCCACTCCCCAGGAGTTTTGCCTGCTCAGGAAATTCATAAATGGAATCATTGTATGTACTCTTTTGTCTTTTTTTCCCTCCTAGAATTATGTTTTTGAGATTCATCTGTGTTTGTTGTATCAGTTGTTTGCATTTGTATTGCTGGTTTTCCATTTTATGAATATACCACAGTTTATTTATCTGTTTAACAATGCATGAGCTTCATGGTTATTTCCAGTTGGGAAATATTACAAATAGAGTTGTCATGATCACGTGTGTAAGTCCTTTTATAGATATATGCTTTCTTTCTTTTGGGTGGGATTTTTGGATCATATGAATATGTATCTGTTTATAAGAAGTCACCAGACTTCATACAAGAAATTCCACAGTGGTTGTAGTTTACATCCTGATGACAGTGTGTAAGACTTGTGGTTGTTCCACATCACTGCCAGTGCTGGGCAGTGTCGGTCTTTTTCATTTGAGATGTTCAGGTAGATGTGTAGTTGTATTGCTTTATGGTTTTAATTTATACCTCCTCAGTGACTAGACATTGGATTCCTTTCCGTGAGCTTTTTATATATTTGCATTTTTTCTAAACAAACTGTATTCAGCTTTCTTAAAGATACTTTTCATAAACAATTATGGTATTCCAGACAGGACACGGGCAGGCAATTGTTAACAGTGTTTAACAACTTTCAAACTCCCTTCTTGGATGGACTGTCCAAATCAGAAAGCCATTGTAACACCCAAAGAAGTCTTCATTTGATGCTCTGGACAGGGAAAGTTCAGAGTGAGGGTTGGCGTTTCACTCTTAGCATGTTGTTTAATCACTTTTCACGAGCGGACCCCGACTTACAGGAAATGAAATCAAAATGGCAGAATTACCAATCTTGAACAGCCACAGTTTAGAAAAGGAACCGTAGCCCTTTTGAGGGACACTGTCTCAGTAATTTCACTGGAAAGTCCTGATTGCCTGGCACACTGGTAAAACCAATTTCAGGCAGTCAGATCCCAAGAGGTGTTTGTATTTGAGTGAGGTAAATCTAGATCTGTGGCAGAGAGGGAGAGGGGGCAGAAAGATGAACTTGAGCTTCCCCACACCACAATGCATCTGTGCTGAAGGTGGCCACATGTATCAATGTCAGGGAGTCCCTCCTCCTGGGAGCCAAGAACACATATCTCGAAACTAGCAGGGAAAGGTGTTCTTGCCCAGAGCAATCCAGCTTTGGAGACTTTTTATGGGTGAAGATATGTACCTTCCTCAAAAAACAATTAAGTGTTCTGTGTGCTAACAATATGGCTTTAAAAATTCTGCATTTTTATAAAACTTGACAAAAATAATACTTCAAACTCTAAAGTCCCCAGAAGTACATCGTTATCAGAAATATATACATTTGCCCTGGCATCTCCAGTGCCATCAGCTTCTGTGCCTGGCCTGTTTGGGCATCTGTTTTCTCCGCTGGGCGATTTTCCCTTTGTCCCTCTGGGTGTCTTCTCCCCCTTCTTTGCAGGGACCTTTTCAGGCTTTGGAGGAGCAGGCTTAGCAGACAGCCTCTCAGGGCTTCTCTGTGCTTCATCTTTCACTGTGTCTTTATCTCCCATAGTGTCCCCTTCTGCCCTTCTCTTGGGCATGACGGCCACTTTGGCGGGATGGAGATGCTAAATGCAGGGATACAGGGGACAGCTTTGGTTGGTCCAGGGGTGGCTCCTGCCTGCTCCTCACTAATCTCCTCTTTTGTTAGTAAAAGTGAACAAAGTTTTGAATATGTTCCTGTTATTTTGTTTTGAAATCACAGATTATTTATGTATTCTGGATATAAGTGTTTTGTATATGTATTAGGATGTATAGGTATATATTGTGGATATTTCTTCCCACTTAACTTTTCAAGTCTTTTCCTCCCTTGAATTTACATTTTTTAAGTTCTGTCTTATGAAAAGCAAGAGGTTTTAAACATTATACAGTCCAATTTTCTTTTACAGTTTGTGTTTTTTGGGGCGATGTATAAAAATTCTTTGCCTACAAAAAGGTTAAGAAAAATTCATACTTTGTTTTTGTCTAGGAAATTTTATAGTTTTATCTTTTACATTGAAGTCTATGGTCTATTTCTAGTTAGTTTTTGTATATAGCATGAAATTAAGCTCTAAATTATTTCTTTCTTATGTACAACCAGTTCTTTGTTTTGAAATAATTGTGGTTTTTTTCTTCATTGAATTATCTTGGCATCTTTGTTGATCATGCATATTTTGGTCATTTCTGAATTCCCTGTTTTGGTCCCTTCATCTCTATTTTGTTCTTATGTTAACTCCCCACATTATTTTGATTACTATATAGTGAGTCTTTGTAGTGAGTCTTGAAATCAGGTAGCATAAGTCTCCCCACTTTATCTTCAGACTTGTCTTGGCTATTATAGGTTCTCTGCGTTTACAGATAAGTTTTCTAGTCAGTTTGCCAAGATCCACAAGATGGGACTTTGGTTGGTATTGCGTTGAATCTGTGGAGCTTGGAGACAGAGGACATTGTAACAACACTGAGTGGTCTAATCCATGACTTTGACCTCCATTTATTTAGGTCTTCCTTAATATGTCTCAGCAATGTTTTATGGTTTCCAAAGTAGACATTTTGTACATATTTTGTTAAATGCATCACTAAATAAATATTTGGTTTTTTATGTTATTGCAAATGGTATTTATTGAATTTTGTTTTCCAATTTGTTGAGAGTATATAGATCCAATTGACTTTTTAATCTTGGACTTGAATAAAGTGACCTTGTTCAACTCCTTTCCCCCCCAGGATTTACTATGTACACAGCCAATTCATCTGTGAATAAATACATTTTATTTATTTTTTAATAATCTATTTTTTTATTTCTTGTTAAAGTGTACTGGGCTAGGACCTCCAAGACCATGTGGAATAGAAGAGATTAAAGGGTACATGCTTGCTTTGTTCAACCTTAGGAGAAAATGTAGAACTTTTCATGATTACATATGGTATTAACTAGGGGTTGTTCCCAGATACCCTTCTATAAGCTTCTACCTTCTATAGCTTGCAAACTATTCACCATGAATGAATCGCTAATCTCGTCAAATGTCTCTTCTGCATTTATTAAGACGACATTATGATTTTTCTCTTTATTTTGGTAATGTGATGAATTTCATTGAGTGATATTTTAAAGAGTAAATAAACCTTGGAAACATTAGTTGTAACTTACATTCCTGTTGTAAACTTCACTTGTTATGATGTATTATCCTTTTTACATACCTTCTGAATGCTATCTAATTGCAATGTTTTGTTAAGAATGTATCTTGGGTCATGTGAGATTGGTATGTAATATCATTATTTGGTTTACTTTCAGGATAATGCAAACCATATTAAATGAGTTGGCAAATGTTTCTTCCTCTATATTTCTGAAATTTTTGCTAAAATTTTCTTTCTTTAATGATTGATAGAATTCACTAACAAGGTGTTTAAGAATGGGGCTTTCTCCAGAGAAATACTTAAAGTTCTGAATTTATTTTTAGTACATATAAGTAATTTGTGTCTTTCAAGGAATTAGTTCATCTTACCTAAGTTGTTTAATCTATTGACATAAAAATTTTTAATTAGTAGTCCCTTTGCTGATATTGGTAACTTGTATATTTCCTCTCTTTTTTAATGATCAGTCTACTAAAAATATCAATTTTATTGATATTTTCAACTTAGGATTTCAT